TTTAGTTTCTCTGATAAAAGAAATGGTGTCTTAAGTTCTCTAGTCATTGATGCATTATGCATTCATTCAACAACTGTAGTATAAGTTTGAGAGTAGAGGGTAAATAAAATAAGAATTCATGCCTGCAGTGAAATTATAAATTTGCTAGTCATCTGGTGATAATTAACTGATAAATTGATACATATTATAGCTAAATAGCAGTATTAACTACTTCATGATAGAATTAAAAGAAAATTTATTAATGCAGACAGAAATAACCCTAGGATTGAGGAAGAAAGTTGGTATTTATAAAGGATAAGATATGTCTAGACACTTATTGATTCCACATAACTGTTAACATAAAAATATATTGTAGTGAATTAGCACTGCCTGAATTTGGGTCCTAATTTCACCACTTGCTAGCTGCTATGAGCTTGGGCAGATTATATGTTTATATACTAGAGATAATAATAGTAGCTACTTAATAGAATTTGTGAGGATTAAATTAGTTAAAATATTTTGCAATTTTTGAAAATATATGCAATTTTTGCAAAATATATGCAATTTTTGGCATATAGTATCTATATATCTCCAAACACAGGTCTATGTATAGATAGAGAGATGTAGATATTTTTTAGAGTTTTAACAAACATTTAACTGCAGTCTTCATAATTTTATTTTTAGTAGTGGCATAATATTCAATCCATGGAGGTACCATAATTTATTTTTCTTTGAGATTCATTTTCATTTTAAAGGAGAATATTGTTGAACTCAAATAATTGTTTTTCCGTTTTCTTAGGTTCTTGAATTTTAAGATCAGAAAACATTTAGATGGGTAGCAGGACTGACTTGTTTTATTTTTGTCTGAGATTTAAATTTAAATTGTAAATTAATGTTAGAAGAAGCCAAGAGCTTTTAAATTAATTCACTTGGGTTTGCAAATGGTATCCAAAAGTTTAACTGAATAGTTTAATTGACCTCTTTTGAAGAATTTTAAAGCAGCTACAGCCTTGTGATCTGCACTGAGTTCCTTTATGTTGGGAAATTTTTGGCAGATGGTATACAATCATCATTCAAAAACAAGTTATATTGTCTTTCCCTGCTTGAATTGGGCGAACATTAGCATGGAACATTTCATTTTGAATGAGCATGTTGGAAGTTATTTCCTGCTAAATGTTTGTCATCAAGTGAAGTTTTATTTTCAAAAATTAATGGAGCATGTCAGTGCAGCAGCCTTAGAAAAATAGCTCAGGCACAGGGTTACTTTTGGACAACTGTTTAAGTCCTTTATTATTATCTGAGTATACATGCATAATAATCTTTTGGGAAACTAAAATACGGTATTTTTTTAAGGCCCAAAACTTTAAAATATGGTATTTAGCTGCTAACAGACAGCTGTTACTGGCTACTTAGAGTTGTGTTTACTTTAGCATATACTACTTTGAGTTGGAACTAGGGATAGAGCAAGCAAATGTATTGGTGATGTATAAAAACATCACCAATATGTATAAAAACACCACAAATGAAATGACTCATTTCTCTTGTCATATATCCATACTCTTGTGCCATCTGAAGTCCCTTCTCCAAGACTCCAATAGCCTTCATTCCCTCCTGTTAAAACACATGTTAATTAAATTAAGTTCCATATTTATTAAGCAAGGTGCTTTTAAATGTAGTGGGGAAGAAAAAAATGAACAAACTAGGCTTCCCTGCTTAAGAAGCTTATTCTAGTCTGTCTGGGTAGAGATTGTGTTAATCAAAATACTTTTGATTATCATGGAAAAAAGTAATTTTAAACTGGCTTACGCAAGGAGAGAGATTTATTGGCTTACATAAATGAAAAGACTGGCCTTAGACATGGGTTGGATCCAGATGTTTAATGTAATAGCTAGAATTTATCTAATTTATCTTAGCTCTGCTTTCTTCTGGCTTGGGTTCATTCTCAGGTAATATCTCCTCAAGCGGTGGCAAAGATGGCCAAAACAGCTCCAGCCTTACATCCTATCAGCTTAGCAACCTCAATGATAAGCTTCTTTTCCAAATAGTTCCAGAAATTCTGTAGTTAGCTCTGGCCAGACTTGGATCTTCTGGAATTGGGGTAGGGTCAAGCGGGAGTAAGGATAGTCCAGCTTAATTCAAAGTAGATGAAACAAAAGAAAGACAAGTGGTATCCAAAAGTTATAGATTCTACTACCAGAAGAAAGGATGCTGAGCATGCAAAAACAGCATACAAAGTAAAGATAAAAATTTTTAGTTGAGCTAAAAAGATAAATTCTGGTAGGAGCTGCTTAAGTAAAGCCTCAGACAGGAGACTGTATTTTGAATTGGGCCCTGAAGGACAAGTAGAATTTTTCTAAGGCAGAGTAAGTAAAGAAAGGACTTTCTAGGTCACTCATTCAAGAAGTTTGGCAGTGAAAGGAGAAAATTAAATTGAAAGCTACTGGAGTCTAAAGGGGAGTGTTCAGATTTTTTTACCCTCAGTATGGAGAAAACTTGAGCATTTTTATGGTAGAGGAGCAGAAGCAAGTAAAGGAGAAATTGATAATACAAAGGAGGCAGTCATTGATGAAGAAGGGGAATTCAATAGGATTAAGGATATAAGTGGAGGGGGCATCCTTAGAAAGGAAAAGGGGCTATTCATTCTCTGAGGATGTGTGAAGGAAGGTAGTAGTGGTAACTGTGGAGGTTAAAACAGAAATTTTGTATTAAATATGTAAGTGGCTTCAGTTTTGTTTTCTAAAAGTAAGAAGAAAAGGTGTATCAGTTATCTATTCCATTCCAAAATGATTTTGTGGGTTAGCAGTTTGACTTGAACTCAAGCTGGGTGGTTTCTTCTGCTGGTCTTGCCTTGGGTCACTCAGGTGGCTGTGGTCATCTCAACTGTGGACAGATGGTCTAAGATGGTGTCTGCACTCACATGCTTGGTGGTTGATGCTGGCTGTTGGCTGGATCTCTTTCTCTTTGTGCTCTCTCATCCTGTGTGAGCATTTACATGGCAGTGGCTGCACTCAGGTAAGGAAGAGCTGAAGCAGTTGGGCCTCTTATGATAGGCTTAGAACTCTCACAATGTCAATTCTTTCACGTTCTGTTGGTCAAAGCAAGTCACAAGGCCGACTGAGATCAAGTAGAGAAATAGACCCCACCTCTTTATGGGAGGAACAACAAAGTTGCATTGCAGAGCGGCTGTATATACGGGAATGGGAAGAATTTGTACCCATTCCCCCCCACCCAACATTTTATTGTGAAAACTTTCAGTCATGAGGCCAAGCTGAAAGAATTTCAAAGTGAACACCCACATATCTACCACCTAGGTTCTACTATTAACATTTTCCTATACTTGTTTTATCATTATTTATCCATGTATCATCCCTCTATCAATTTATCTTATTTTTGATGCATTTCAAAATAAATTGTAGATGTTAGTACTTTTCTCTAAGTACTTCATGCATATTTGGCAAGTCAGTATTCCGTTTTTTCTTTTCACAAAACATTTATATACAGTGACGTGTACAGACTTTAAGTGTACATCATACCTAGTTTTGCAGCCTGCCAGGGAAGGGAAAAATTTGGAATAGCTTTTCAGTGAAATGCCTCAGAAACTCAACTGTCGTTGTATAAAAGAATTGCAGGTGATGTCTTTCTTGACTGCCTTTCTTCATGTCATCACTAATAACTTTTTCATTTAGTATACCTCAACACTTAGGATTTTCATTTGTGTTACATTAATTTGAGTTCACTTTGGACATTTCCCTACATACTTTCATTAAGCATTTATTGAGCGCATATTGTAGATAAGCACTGTACTAGAAAAAGGATGTAAACAGGAGCTCTCTTGCTTTATATTCAAACTAGGTGTATCTCAAATCAGATCAGATAAACAGTAGATGCCATTTATTTAATGCTTATGCTTAAGGCCAATGATAGACACTTTTAGTTGCATTGTTTCATTTTTAATCCTTTGTAATTTAGGAAATAGATACTTTCTCGTATTTTAAAAGTTAGGAAACTAGGCATGTGGAAAAGTTATCACTTGCCCAAGGCCTTACAGCATCATAAATAAAGGTGATATGACTCCAGAACCCACATTTAATCCCTGTATCATATTGATTAGAAGCAGGAAATATGCCCTCTGTTGCACAGTAGATAACTAACCCTTTAATTGGTCATTTTGCTTCATAGGGTAGTCTTGATCTGAATTAAGTGTTTATTTTAAATAGAGGACTATAAATGTTTATTAACTGATCATGAGAAAGTTTACTAAACTATCTTCTAGTTTATGAATAGATACTTTAGCAATTGGAAAAGGAGAAATTCTAGTATCATAACTATTGATTTAACTGCAGATAATTAGAAGTGTGATCAGAACTATGTGACAGATTCAGCCATAATTTAACCTTTGAGTGCAGTATTACAGTTTCTTATAGCCTTAACACTTACATTATTCTAATCTATGTTACAGTATACATTTTTTAAATTTCTAGAATATTATAAGCCCTTAATTTTTTATATGATGATTTGATAAAATAATAGTTACTTGATTTTATTTACTAGGTGTTGAATACTTTTATTGCTAATTGGCTTTTGAGCAATTTTACAAATAGTAAATGATTGAAACCATTTTGACTTGCTATTTGCATAACAGTAAACCGTGTCTGAACTCTTGAAAATTTGTGACTAGCACTTAAGCCATTTTATGCCAAGAATTCTGCCAGAAGTGCAACTGGTTAATGGCAGCCAGTGTGACAACTGAAGTGACAGCTTCTTGAGTTCATTTACTGTGTTAGCTTTCCTGTTAGGTCAGGGAATGGGATAAAGTCATGTATGTCTAAACATGTCTCTTAACCCAACAGTGTATAAGGTGTTTTAAAAGTGTTCCTTCACCAAGATTTTCCCTATTTCATTTCATTTCGTGTTATGTTTGTAAGTGGCATTAAATCCTAAATCATATGTGGTAGGTTACAAACAAAACAAATTTGTGTTTTAAAAATCTAATCGAGTGTTATATTTATTTTTACGTGCAGGTCTTGCTATTTTGGAAGCTACAAGAAAAAAAATAGATTGGAGAAGGTTTGGTCTTTTAAGTGGACATGGCTCAGATATCCAACAACAATGGGTTTAAGCAGTGTTCATCTTCACATCTGGAACCAACAAGAACAAAAGATGTGGGCAAAGAAGAAGCATTACAGATGGAAGCAGAGGCTTTAGCAAAACTGCAAAAGGATAGACGGGTGACCGATAACCAGAGAGGCTATGAGTGGTCAAGCAGCACCAGACAAAAAGCACAAGTTTATAGCAAACAGGATTATGATCTCATGGTGTTTCCTGAATCAGATACCCAAAAAAGAGCAGTAGATATTGATGTAGAAAAGCTTACCCAAGCTGAACTTGAGAAACTATTGCTGGATGACAGTTTCGAGACTAGAAAAACACCTGTATTGCCAGTTACTCCTGTTCTGAGCCCTTCATTTTCAGCACAGCTGTATCTTAGACCTGCTATTCAGAGAGGACAGTGGCCACCTGGATTATCTGGGCCTTCCAGTTACTCTTTACCTTCTGTTTACCAGTCAACTTACAGTAGTAAACAGACTGTATTCCAAAATGGCTTCAATCCAAGAATGCCTACTTTTCCATCCACAGAACCTATATATTTAAGACTTCCAGGACAGTCTCCATATTTTTCATATCCTTTAACACCCACCACACCCTTTCATCCACAAGGAAGCTTACCTATCTATCGTCCAGTAGTCAGTCCTGACATGGCAAAGCTGTTTGACAAAATAGCTAGTACATCAGAATTTTTAAAAAATGGAAAAGCAAGGACTGATTTGGAGATAACAAATTCAAAATCTACTATCAGCAATCTACAGGTGTCTCCAAAGTCTGAAGATATCAGTAAGTTTGACTGGTTAGACTTGGATCCTCTAAGTAAGCCTAAGGTGGACAGTGTAGAGGTATTGGACCATGAAGAAGAGAAAAATATACCAGGTTTGCTAGCAGACGATCCTTGGGATGCTGTTCTTCTTGAAGAGAGATCACCAGCAAGTTGTCACCTTGAAAGAAAGGTGAATGGAAAATCTCTTTCTGGGGCAACAGTAACAAGAAGCCAGTCTTTAAATATTCGAACAACTCAGCCTACAAAAGTCCAGGGCCAAATATCTCAGGTATAGTCTTTTCTTACTCACTTCTCAAACTTAGTGTAACAGAGAATTCATATTTGTGTACATAATTTATTTGGTAAAAGAAATGTTTTTTATGTTGAATCTTGTTTTCTTAAGTATACTGTGAATGTTAGATTGTGTGGAAAAGGATTAAATGTGTTTAGGCAAATTGATAAAATTCTTTTTAAATTAAAAATTAAAAAAAAATATTTTGGCTGTGGTGGGTCTTTGTTGCTGCATGTGGGCTTTCTCTAGTTGCGGTGAGCAGGGACTACTCTTTGTCACAGTGCACAGGCTTCTCATTGTGATGGCTTCTCTTGTTGCAGAGCATGGGCTCTAGGCACGCAGGCTTCAGTAGTTGCAATGTGTGGGCTCAGTAGTTGTGGCATGTGGGCCCTAGAGTGCACGGGCTTCGGTAGTTGCGGCTCATGGGCTAAGTAGTTGTGGTGCGCAGGCTCTAGGGCGTGTGGGCTTCAGTAGTTGCAGCATGAGGGTTCAGTAGTTGTGTCTTGTGGGCGTAGTTGCTCTGCGGCATGTGGGATCTTCCCAGACCTGGGATTGAACCCGTGTCCCCTGCAGATTCTTAACCACTGCGCCACCAGGGAAGTCCCAGGCAGATTGAAAAATTGCTTACTATTAATATTATCTTTTCTAGGATTGTGGATTTTGAAAACCTATAATCAAGGATCTGGCTTTCACTGATAGGCATTAAAAATAATTTTTATCTGTCTCTCCTTGTCCATTCATTATATGTAGTCCTACTTTCTTTTCCTTATTGCCTTTATTTTTCAGGGTAAATAAGGAATTTTGGTTTTTAATCCCATTATAGAAATTCTCATGTATATTGTTTTGTTGTTTTTAACCATGAATGAATGAATGAGTAGAAGAAAGGGAGGGAGGGAGGAGGGAAGGAAGGAAGTGAGGGAGGGAGGAAGGAAGGAAGGAAGGCCCCAGAGAGATGGGAGAAAAGCCATTTAAAGGACTCTCTTTAAACACCTGTATTGATATTAGTGAAGAAAAGAACTGTAGTCTATATAGCATAGTTGCTGAGTTCATATAGTCTTACTGTCTGGAAAAATTAGTTAAGGGTGCCTGGGACAGGATGTCTTCTCTTAGAAGAGAGGCAGCAGGGTTTAGACTTTTCCTTTCCATAGATAGTATACCACTGAAGATTTGTATTTTGCTCTTATGGTATCTGTGGATTCTAGGAATGTTTAAGCCTCATTCTTACCTTAATGTGAATCATATCATTCAGCTAATTAGATCAGCATTTGGCTACTGTTTAGGCACTGAGATTCAACTAGCATTTAGGGGAGGATAAGCAAATTTTGCATGATTTGGATGGGTTTATGTTGAATTGTTGATTCTTAAAAACCATTTTAGATGTCTTGGGAGAAAAAAGCAGATATTAAGAAGGTTAAGAAAAAAGGATGAGGATTTCTTTGGATAACACAATCAGAACCCAGAAAAATCTTAACCAGTGCAGTGTTTTCCAAATGTATTTTGACTACAGCTCCCCACTAAAAAATACCTGTTATTAAGGTCTCTTAAGCTTTTCAGTACTGTTTACAAATTTAGGAACAGAATTTCTTAACACCTTTCAATTTAAAAGTCACAGGTTAATTTCACAGTTTAAATTGGAATCATAAATATTTATTCTAATGTCATATTATTTACTCTTAATATTCTATGTCATCTTGTCATGATTTTTGTCTTTGTATTTACAAATAACAGTCATTTCCTAAAGTATTTGAAAGGAGAAGGGAAAACTTTAAGCCAAATCAGGAAGTGTGGGCGGGGGGCTTATACCTAGTAGTGGAGCTGCTGGTTATTCTATGCTTAGCTTTTTGAGGAACCAGCAAACTCTTTTCCATAGTGGCTGCATCATTTTACATTCCCCCCAGCAATGTATGAGAGTTCCAGTTTCTTCACATGCTTGCCAACACTTGTTATTTGACAGTTTTTTTGGATTATAGCCATTCTGATGGATGTGAAGTGATATCTCATTGTGATTTTGATTTGGATTTCTCTGTTGACTAGTGGTGTTGAGTATCTTTTCATATGATTATTGGCCACTTCTGTATCTTTTTCGAAGAAATGTCTATTTGTCATTGGCCATTTTAAAAATTGGGCTGTTCATAGCTTTATTCATAATAGCCAAAAAGTGAAACAACCCAAAATGTCCATCAGCTGATGAATGGGTAAAAGCAAAAGCGGTATGTCTGTACAATGGAATATTATTCACCCATACAAAGGAATGAAGCCCTGATATATGCTGCAACATGGATGAACCTTGAAAACATTGTAAGTGAAAGAAGCCAGACACAAAAAAACATGTATGGTTCAATTTATATGATATGTCCAGAAAAGGCAAATCCACAGAGAAAGAAAGCAGATTAGTGTTTGTTGGGGGCGGTTGGAGGAAAGAGGGAATGGGGAATGGTTGCTTAATGGGTACAGGGATCTTTTTGGGGGGGGTGATGAAAGTGTTCTGGAATTAGAACATTTCAGTGTTCTTACCATAGTGGTGATGGTCACATACCATTATGAATGTACTGTGAGCCAACAAATTGTACATTTTTAAATGGTTGATATGGCAGTTTTTATGTTCTATGAACTTTACCTCATTTTTTTTTTTTTTTTTTTTTTTTAAAGGAAGACACTGGTCCCCCTGATCCTCCCATCCTGCTCAGGCCAGGTTACTGCCGGATTCACATTTGGGTCAGTGTTCCAATAGAGAGATCCCTCTCTAACTGTGGATCTCCTTTTTATGGATTTAGCATGAGGGCATGGTGTTTGACACCATGTAGTCTGGATTAGGGGTATCAGAAGTAGTTTGGGAAGGGCAGCTGCCAGTAACTGGAGATCTCAGGAGCTAGGGAAAGTTGCAGTCTCTGCTATCAGGGAAAAAGAAGCCCCTGGTCCTAAAGGGAGCTGAGTTTAGGCTCAGCCCTCCCATTGGTAGAAGGCAGAGCCCCTGATTGTCCAGGCAACCCAGAGTGAGCATCCAGGTCACTTTCAAATAATCCTCCTGCTCCTTGCATCACACCTTCATGGGTATGCATTTGCACCTCTACAATATATGCATTGTAGCCACAATACATAGATTATCTTGAATTTAATAAAATATTTATAAATGACTTTGGTTTATTTCATTATCTCTGTATCTCTAATTCTAACTTTCCCAGCAGTGGAAATTCATTTATTCACTAAGGGAAATAGATTATTCCAGATGAGCTGAAATTACCATTCCAGGTGAACTCTGGTTATCATCTTAAACAAGTTGAGGTTTCTGGGTCTACCAGAATTACTTGCTATCAGTGATCCAAGACTGGACTCAGAACCTAAGAGCTACATGCTTTTTATCTGTGCTGTAAATGTTCAAACTGAACTCTTTTTTTATAATCACTGAGACAATAGAGAGTTCCTAAGAATCCTGTGAGATCAGAGTGACCCATACCTATTTCACAGTTGAAGAAACTGAAATGTGAAGAAGTTAAGGAATTATTAATTTTTTCATGTAATAATGGTATTATAATTAGTTAAATGAACTCGTATTTTAGAGATATTTAAGATGATAACCACAGTTATCTAGTCTAACCAACTTTATTTCATGAATGAAGAAACTTAGATCCAGAGGGTGACTTATCTCCAATTAATATTTTCTTCCTCAGTTTGTTTGTAACTTAAAACCTGTGGCATAGATTGCCAGTGCTTTTGCTGCAAAACACTTGCTTCCTTTCCCTGTTGCCCTCTGTAGTTTAGACTGGTCACTTCTGGTTCAACCGATGTTTTCTCCACCCTTTCCTTTGGTGGGGGCAGGGCTGTGATACTCACTTACATCCCTTTCATTGTCTCTCTGCATACATCTTTTCCTACTCATTTTTAATATTTGTCACAGTATCATCTTGATATTTTCCCTATTTGGGGTACTTTCAGAAATCATCTTGCAGGACTGATGAGGATAGGTAGTTTCCTAAAGATAAGAAAAGAATTCCCCTAACAGGATCTGGGAAATCAGATCACATGGGAGTTGCAGAGAATTACTGCTTGTTCAAACTCTAGGAATTAGGCTTCTAGGCAAGTTTTAGCAGAAACATGTTCTTAGATTTTGTTTAAAGTACAGGGGGAAGGATCAAGGAGTAATCAAATTGGTTGCGAGAGACATGAGTCAAAGCCAGGTAAGCAAAAATAACATGACTTGATCAGCTGATCAGAGACGGGAGCTAGATTACTACAGTGTACATCAGTAGCTTTACTAAATGGCACAGTGTCTGAATTGAGGTGGCTTAGGCTCCTTAAAGGAGTTTAACTGTGGCATGGCTGAGGAGGTATGTAGTTGTTGATCATTCTGTTATACTCTGCTCTTTTATTTTTTTTATTTTTTAATAAATTTATTTATTTATTTTTAGCTGCTTTGGGTCTTCGTTGCTGTGCACGGGCTTTCTCTAGTTGCGGCTAGCGGGGGCTATCCTTCGTTGTGGTGCTCGGGCTTCTCATTGCGGTGGTTTCTTTTGTTGCAGAGCACGGGCTCTAGGCACGCAGGCTCAGTAGTTGTGGCTCGCGGGCTCTAGAGTGCAGGCTCAGTAGTTGTGGCACATGGGCTTAGTTGCTCCGTGGCATGTGGGATCTTCCCGGACCAGGGCTCGAACCCGTGTCCCCTGCATTGGCAGGCGGATTCTTAACCACTGCGCCACCAGGGAAGTCCCCTCTGCTCTTTTAAAACCCCATGTAATAATTATGTTTGAGCACCACATTCTAAAAGGGACCAGTGGTAGACTAGAGTGTGTCTTGAGAAGACTACAGTGTTCAGGATCTAGAAGCTATGCTATTTAAGGAACTGTTGAAAAGATTGGAGATATTTTGCCTGAAGAAGCGAATATTAATTGGAGCTAATTCACACTCTGAATCTGAGTTTCTTCATCTATAATATAAAGTTAGGTGGACTAGGTAATTTCTGAGACCCTTTCAGGAATAATATTTAAAGTTTGGAAAGTTGCCCTGTAAAAGAGGAAGTTGACTTTTTTTCTTTTAAAGTTTTATGTTTGGGACATAGGTTCTCAAAGCAGTTCAGGAAGTAGAATACCTGAAAATCATGGTATTCTTGTAAAACAAAGGTGAAATAGTTATGTTCTAAGTTTTCCAGTACATTAAGTGCATTGCTTTGTGCAAATTACATGTTACGTTGTGCTAGATTTTGTTTTTGTTTTTGCGGTACGCGGGCCTCTCACTGTTGTGGCCTCTCCCATTGCGGAGCACAGGCTCCGGACGCGCAGGCTCAGCGGCCATGGCTCATGGGCCCAGCTGCTCTGCGGCATGTGGGATCTTCCCGGACCGGGGCACGAACCCGTGTCCCCTGCATCGGCATGCGGACTCTCAACCACTGCGCCACCAGGGAAGCCCTGTGCTAGATTTTAATAGACAAGTGGTAGCAGGTGTAAAAGTTAAAATAACCTTTCATAGAAAGCTTAAAATTACGCAAATCCTATTTGTTTATATTTTTCCTCTATGAATTGAGAAATTCAGTTTAGTAACTTAGTTTTAAAATTCATTGTCCCAAAAAGTAGAACAAGGACCAATGGGGAATAAAACTCAGAGGCATATATACGGTTAAATATCAATAAAGGAACTTATAAATAGCCATTTGGTAATGGTTCCTCTCAGGTGGTCAATGCATAGTTATTGGAGGTCTTTAATCAGAGGTTTAGTGTGCACTTGTTACAAATGCTATAAAAGGATTTTTATTTTCAAAGAAAAGTTCTAAGCCCTTTTATTAACACTAAAATTTCACCATTTTGTTTGTGTACAAGAAGATAAAGTTTGGTTTGATTTAGACCAAAAGGGGGAGGTAAACAGAACACTAATAATAGGCTGATTTAAGAAGTCTGTGACACAAACATTGGCGTGGAACTTTTAATTTTTCACACACCATTCATCTCTATTTAAAAACTTTTCCCTGAGGTTCATATTTTTTGTTGGGAAATAAGATTGCAGTGCCTATTCTTTATAATTACTTTACATACTTAAGTGTTCATTTCCTGTAAGAATTTTATGCTTTGTGGTAAAAACTCTGAAGGGTATTTTTCTTCTCACTCAGCAGTCTTACTTCCTATTTCCTTCTAGTGTCTTTTGTTCATAATAATCTAAATACTTTAGTTCAAATTTTTGTTTTCAAAACCAGGAAAAGGCATAGTACTTAAAACTGTCTTCTGGCAATTTAAGTTTAAATCACACTTTTAGTTAATAGCTATAATTTAGCTACTTTGAATAGATCCCAAAGATTTTAGTAGTGAATGAAATTATTTTCATAGAAATGGTTTTGCAAAGTTCTGTGGCTATTGACTTTTTCTAAAAGTTGATTATATTAACACTATAAACATGTATATCCCCATTAGCACAATGTCTAACGTTAATTTTAAAGAAGAGGTAAAGTTGAATAAAATGTGGTTTTTCATTGTCTAGCTGAATATAGTACATTAGTTGAGTAGATTACTGAAGTCTCTATAAAATTTTGGTAACGAAGTAACCAACTTTGTTCTGAAAAGCAGCTGATATGTTTATATTTAATGCTTAAAATACATTTATTGAAAACTTGGTGTTCCATCTAATTTCTGGGGTAAGACGGCATGAACCTGGGACTTGTTTAGGTGTAAAGCTTTCCCATATTCTTTTTTTTTTGGACATGGTTTCATTTTTTTTTAATTAATTAATTTTTGGCTGTGTTGGGTCTTCATTTCTGTGCGAGGGCTTTCTCTAGTTGCGGCAAGCGGGGGCCACTCTTCATCGCGGTGCGCGGGCCTCTCTCTGTCGCGGCCTCTCTAGTTGCGGAGCACAAGCTCCAGACGTGCAGGGCTCAGTAGTTGTGGCTCACGGGCCTAATTGCTCTGCAGCATGTGGGAGGATCCTCCCAGACCAGGGCTCAAACCCGTGTCCCCTGCATTAGCAGGCATATTCTCAACCATTGCGCCACCAGGGAAGGCCCTCCCATATTCTTATAACTGCTTTATAGAGTATGCACTGATAAGTTTTTGTGAATTATTGCAAACCTGCATCACTTTCCTTAAACCCTTAATTTACCCTTTCCACCTCTCCTTGACCTCACTACCTTTTTAAAAAATTGAATTATAATTGACCTACAGCACTGTTAGTTCCAGGTGCACAACATAATTTAGTGACTTGGCATTTCTGTACATTACAAAATGATCACCATGGTAAGTTTAGTTACCATTTGTCACTATGCAAAGTTATTACAATATTATTGACAGTATTCCTCATGCTTTACATTTATCCCCATGACTCATTTATTTAGTAACTGGAAGTTTGTACCACTTAATTTCCTTCACCTATTTCATTCCCCCACTCCCAACCCCCACCCCTGACCTCCCCTCTGTTCTTTTTCTTCTTCTTTTTTTAAAAAACATATTTATTTATTTAGGCTGTGCTGGGACTTAGTTGTGGCATGTGGACTTCTTAGTTGTGGCATACAAAGTGTTAGTTGCAGCATGCATGCAGGATCTAGTTCCCCGACCAGGGATCGAACCTGGGCCCCCTGCACTGGGAGCATGGAGTCTTACCCACTGGACCACCAGGGAAGTCCCTCCCCTCTGTTCTTTATATCTATGAACCTGTTTCTGTTTTGTTATATTTATTCATTTGTATTGCTTCTTAGGTTTCACATATAAATGAAATCATACGGTATTTCTCTGTCTGACTTATTTCAG